CACGCACACGTATTTCCTATTTTCAAGGAAATCACTTGTTTTGTCATATTTGTTCAAGCCGACGCTGTGACAACAAAAAAAGGGATGTTCAAAAAAACAAGTATGACCTGACAGCAGCGTGTGAGTAAAATGATCTGTAAAAAGCAAATCAAGAAATAAAAATAGCAATTCATCCCACTCTGGTCCCATCAAGTTTAAGAAACCACAGTGCCCAAGGAAAAACAACCAATCGGAGACAGAAGGTGTGACTGACCTGGTTTCAACCTTATGCCATCTGTCGACAGCTACACTCGGATATTGGCTCGCAGAAGCTTTACTGAAACTAGGGTGGAATATCTACCTTCGCCCCCCCCCCCAAAAAAAAATAAAGAAATGCCCGAACCTCTTTTGCTCTTGACTGGCCTTAAAATTGGAAAACTGTAATTTTGAAATGTGAAAATGTCCATGGTAAATGTAAAAACAGCGCTAAAATTCCACGCTTAGCACATCCAAACATGAAAATGAGCATTTTTAAAATAGGACAAGTCATCGGGTTAAAAGATGAAAAGGATGAGATTAAACATGAAAAGAAAAGACGCTCACCACATGAGATTGTGACTATTTTTACACTCCAATGTGAAATTCAGCACGCTCACATGATCATTATCATGTTAAAACAGCAAAATGATGAAGGGGGGTTGGGGGGGGGCGTCCACCTGGCAGGAGGGCTCCAAGTGTTGATCAGGACTAAACGTATTTTGTGGGGAGAAAAAAAAAACCCAACCAAAAAACGGACTGTGTGCAAAGCGGCGACTCAAGAAACTAAATTGTGTCCTTGCGGCGACAAAACGGTCGGTACAGTTGAGTAAAGCTCAATGAGGCGCCCACCAATGAAAGGCTGACAAAGGAAGACAAAAGACGACTTGCTCCTCGTCCTCCTCCTCTTCGTCTTCGTCTTCTTGTGCTCCTCCTGGAGGGCACGTTTAAGCGTGAAGGCATTCGGCCATTACGTGGCATTAACCTCATTACAAAACACAGCAGACCAAATTGATTTACAGCTGCCATTTTGTCGCGCCGCTCTCGATCGATGCTTCGACTCTTCCGTTAACGGCTGGCGCTTTTTTGGGGTGGGGGTGCGGGGGGATGGGGGGTCTTTCTCCATCTCCCGCTTGTCTTTAGCGGCTTTCTAATTTCGCTGTGCAAAAGCGGCAAAGTCCGGAGGGCCCCTGAAGGGGTCGCAGGCCAACGCGCGCTCACGCACCTTGTTCTTGTTTGGTTTAGTGTGGCCAAAAAAAATTCGAGAACGAGGAGGGAGGTTGTGTCGAGGGTTAAGGGCTTGAAAGTGGGGTTTTAATTCAGGGGTAGGGATTTGAGCCAAGGCCAAGAGTTAGGGTTTTGGATGTGACCCCAATAGCACGACAACAGGCAGGTATAGTTGAAGCAAACACTTGGCGTAGTGTATTGAAGAGTCTTAGCAAAGCCACTCAGGAAGAAGCACGAAGAAACCACAGGGAAAATGTCCACAGGAAACAAAACCCTTACTCAGGGAGAAAACTGGGACCCCTCCCTAACACCAAGTTTTCAAAGTAGGGTTTCAAGTTAGGGTTTGGGTTGGGGTTGGAGATTCAAGTCAACTTGAAGGTTTCAAAGTAGGGTTTCAAGTTAGGGTTAGGGTTGGGGTTGGAGATTCAAGTCAACTTGAAGGTTTCAAAGTAGGGTTTCGAGTCAGGGAAATGGTTCCATCCCAGATTTGGGTCTCAAAATAGGGTTCCAAGTCAGAGTTACGCTTGGTGCCACAGTTGGGGTTTCAAAAAGGGTGAGCGTTTCAAAATAGGGTTTCAAGTCAGGGTTGTCATTTCAAAGTCGGGTGTCAAGTCAGGGATAAGGATTCAAGTCAAGATTAGGGTCTTTAAGTAGGGTTTCAAGTCAGAGTTAGAGCTTTGTGACACATTTAAGGTTTCAGGGTAGAGTCCATTTTTCAAATAAAGGTGAGGGTTTCAAATTGGGGTTTCAAACTCAAATTAGGGCCTAAAAAAAAACTCTTCCAAGTCTGGGCTAGGGATTCAAGACAAGGTGAAAGTAGGGTTTCAAGTCAGAGCAAGGGTTTCAAATTAGAGTTCCAGGCAAGGGTTAGTATGTGAAATTGGGGTTTCAGATTTGAGTTCGTACTTCAAGTAGGGTTTCCGCTCAGGGTTGCTGTTTCAAGTAAGGGTCTCAATTCAGGGTTAAGGTTTCAAATTAAGGCTTTGAAACATGTTTAGGGTTTCCAAGTCGGGCTGTTTAACCCAGGGGGTAGGGTTTCTTCTAAATCAGGTCAAAGTAGGGCTTCAAGGTGGGCTGAGCATTTCCTGCCACATGCAGGCTTCAAATCAAGATCATCGTTTCAGAATGCAGTTTCCGACTCTAACATCAGATTCGACGTTGTCCTTCAAAGTAGGGTTTCAAATCAGGCTGGGAAAATGTTGAGCCGCCGACATGTGACGTTCACAAAGACTTCAACAAAACGTCTCCTTTCTCGGACAAATCAATAGGAAGGCCTTGCGCCTCCTCCTTCCCCCAAGGGAGCGCGTGCGGGCTGTGACATCATCATCCAGGGATCAGGTGACACGCCGCCCCGCCCCGACCCATCGCGGGCCCTCCCAACCCTACCCTGTCCCGTCCCCGTCCTCCGGCGCACTTTTCACATGTAAATAATAGATGAAGACTTTGTGATTCATGTCGTCCAAGGAGACCTCGCACCAACGCGTCCAGACGGGTCGGTGCGCACATCAAGACGGTCACACTGAAAGTCAGGTAAAGTCAGGTTTCAAGTCGGGGTTAGGGTCTCAACACCGGGATTGGCGGTGAAACAAGTACTCGGGCTTGTAATGAGGTTTTTAGGCAGGGATGGGATTTCAAAATAGGTTTTCAAGACTGGGTTGTCCTTTCAAACAAGGGTTGGGTTTCAAATTAGGGTTACAGTGTCAATGTAGCTTTTAGGGTCGGGGTTCGACTTGGCTCTGGTTTCAAACTTGGCTTGGGGCTCCAAAGTGGGGTTTGGAGCCAGGGGTATTGTTCCAAAATGGGCCTATGGTTTTTAAAACTGCATTATGGTGTTAAACAAAGGCTCGGACTTCAAACAAGGGTTTAAGGCGGCGGTAGGGTTTTTAATTAGTCAAGGTTAGCGTTTCATGACTAGGTTTAAAGTTAAATGGAGGTTTTGAGTTAGGTTTCAAGTTGGAGTGGGTGAGTATCAATACCAAGTGGCCGTATCGGGCTGATACCGGTTTGGAGGCTGCTGATACTGGCCATTCATACTGCAGGCAAAAAAAAAAAAAAAAAAGGGTCTGATGTGGAGTAAATCCTCCTCGGCTGGAGTTTGGCGCTTTACACATTGGCAAATAATCTCGACGTTAGAAACAAAGGTCTTTGTTCACCATTTTTGGCAATGAGTTCAATGAAATGCATCCAAAGTACTACAGGTATCGGTAAATGGTATCGGTAGGTACTAAAAGGTGAACACTGGTACTGGTATGAGTATGGAAAAAAAGTGGTATCGGACATCCCTGGTTTAAGGAATACCATCAGCTTTCACTTCAAGATTTGGCTTGGCTTGGCTTCCAGACAAGGTGGGGGGGTTTTCAAATTTCCAAGTCTGTGTTTGGCTTTGCAAAGGCTGGCTTAGGGGCTCAAGGGAGCCTTTCAAGTCCTACTTGGGGCTTCCAAGGCACTTGGTGGCTCCGTAAAGAAACATAGTTAGCAAATTGTGTGTGTGTGTGTGTGTGTGTGTGTGTGTGTGTGTGTGTGTGTGTGTGTGTGTGTGTGTGTGTGTGTGTGTGTTTTCAATTTTCATGACACACACTGAAGCGCATCGCCAATAATTTGTGCGTAAATATTGTAGCGGAGGTGGCGGCGTTCCGCACATGAATGCGAGCTGCTCATCCGCAACTCGGTGAGAATTTTCCGGAATGACAACACACACACACACACACACACACACACACACACACACACACACACACACACTCACACTTGTGTTACATAAGCGTCTGGACGGCTTACAGGTGGGCAGACAGACAGACAGACGGCGGGTGGGACCCTTTGCAGCAGCAGCAGCAGCAGCATCAGCACGGGCTAACGAGCTAACGAGCTAACAAGCTTAGGCGGGAATGAGCTTCTGAATGAGCCGTTTGAATGTCCAAAGGCGAACGCCCCAAAGTGGACGTGATGACAATAACGGGGCAGCCGTTCCATCTTTGGAACCTTTTTGTCATGACTTAATTGAGACATAAACCCCCTGGTGTCTGACTTTATTTTTGTGGAGTTTTACTTTATTTTAGTCGTATTTGTACTCTATTTAAGGAGGAGTTTTACGTGATTGTGGAGTGGTTTTCATTTATTTCATGGGACTTATTTGAGTAGACGTTTCATTTGATTTTTGGAGTCATTTGATTTGATGTCAGGAGGAGTTATACTTGACTTTACGAGTGCTTTTAGGTGTACTTTTGACTTTATTTCCTTCATTTTAGTCAGAGGGCAACTTTATCTTGTATTGGTTTTGCTCTTTCGCTGCAGCGGGTCGTGCTACTTTACTAAAGTTTAATTTTTACTTTAACTTTGTCCTTTACTTTAGTCAGCGATGGACTGAGTCATGGTTTAACTTTCTTTTCAACATAGGCCCGGTTTACTTTGCATTGTGTTTAACTGATATTTGTGTCGTGTTTTCACTTGATTTCAGGTGAATTTTGCGTTCAGCTCCTTTTCAGACTCGGATGACAGGTCATGGTAAAATAGGAGTGAAAAACCCGGCCTCATCTTGTTTTTTCTCTGGCTTGCGTGTGAACGACTAATAATGATAATAAGACAAACGCTCCTCCTCCTCCTCGGCCTCCTCAGTCCGCACACGCACCGCACTTGATTTTCCTCACCCGGGCTGACCTTCCTCACTTCCTAGAAGCTCTTGAGTTAGAAAGAAGGTGGGCGGGGGCCGCAGGGGGCGGTGGTAAAGCGAGGAACGTCCCTGGTCACATGACCCGACTTACCCTGGTTAAGCCGGGCTCGGCGGCAGCTCCTCTCGCACTCGCCGCTGAATCCTGCGACGGAGAAACGAGAGAACATGAGAAACTTTCACCGCCGACGACAGTCGAACCGCCCCCGCCCGCCGCGTCGCCCAACCCCCCGAGCCGGGAGGGCTTTCCTCCTGAAATATTTGCAGCAAACGTGTCAGATGATCAAAGTAGAGCGATCCCATTCTGCGGGGACACTCCATTAGGTACACATGGAAACGTCCACACTCAGTCACCGCAGCCATTTGCTCATCGCTGATGATCAAGGATGACGTCATGAAGAACAACATCAATAAAGTGCATGACAAAAACACTTTTGAATGTGAAAACATCTGCGATTGGCTGGCCAGCGGTTCAGGGTGTCCCCCGCCTACTGCCCGAAGACGGCTGGGATGGGCCCCGGCATCCCCTGCGACCCTTGTGAGGGGAAGGGGATCAGAAAATGGATGGATGGATGGATGCAAAAACACGCGCATGCATCATATCACGTTCAATGAAAATGAAAAACAAACATGGAAAAAAAACTGAACAATTAAACTTTTTTTTTGTTGTCAAATGTACTCTGACTCCATTATTGTCTTTATCTTATTTTTGTTTTGTAGTTTTCAGGGGGGGGGGGGGAGGATTTTGAACTCTATTGTCTTTTTGTTGACAAAGTCTCTTCTTCTGTTGCTGGATGAAACGAGGACTCCAAGTGAGGTTTGCTCACCGCATGTGATGACATCACGCATACTAACTTGTGTATTCAACAGTGCTCTGATTAGCCCCTCCCAACCTCGATGCCTCATTTTCCACACACACACACACACACACACACACACACACACACACACACACACACACACACACACACACACACACACACACACACACACACACACAAGTCAAAAGGAAATTGATGCGGGTGTTTTGTCGGACCACCTGTTCATCCTGGATACAAGACTGGCAGCCGACAAAGGGTTAACGCTCTTTGTGGGAGGGAGCCGCAATTGTGCGCGTGCGTGCGTGTACGTGCCCCTGTCTGAAGCATGCCCCAAGAGTGGCAGACTGGCACAGGCTGGAGGGGGGGAAAGGGGGCGGGTTGGCAGGGCACACCCTTTACTAGGCCACACCCTCACCTCCCCCACAGCCACACACGCATTCATGGGGACCGGTCTCACATCCTCAAACCCAGACACACACACACGCGCATCTCATGGGGGGAGCGCACGTCGTCGGAACATCTGAAATTCATGATCAAAATGCACAGCCCATCTGTAAATAATACAGCAGAAAAAAAAAGAGCGATAATCAACAAATGCTGCGATTGGCTGGCAAGCGGTTGAGGGTGTCCCCCGCCTACTGCACGAAGGCACCCGGAATAGGCTCCGGCCCGCCCCGCCACCCCTTGTGAGGAGAAAGCGGATGGGAAAATGGATGGATGGATGCACTCAACAAATGGACTCAGATGCGCACCTCAAGTGACAAGAAATCCAAATGGACGAAAAAAATTCAACCTTCATGAAATTCAGACATTCTGGACAAAATTACTTGGACGACAGTGCAGTCTTCCGCTTACTTTTGGCGGACAAATGAATTGAACAGCTCCGCAATCGTTGGTTTCAAGTGTCCTACTACTTTTAGTGGAAAAAAATTATTGGATGCCACTGCAGTTTTTTTTCTTTTTTTTTTTTTTTTTACAAAGTGTAACATTAATCTAGTGGACCAAAATATTTTAGCGCGACCGCAAGTCTTTTGTTTTTGAAAGATCTGGACGCAAGAACTGGGGGACATGCACAGTGCACACGCTATTTGTGTCCCATTACTTTCGATGCACCAAAAAAAAAAAAAAATGTCGACATCACTGAAGTGGCCGTTTACTTTTGCTGGGTTACTTTCTTCTGAGAGCCAAAAATAATTGGATCTTTCCAGTCTTGCTTTGATTTGAGGGTGAAGTTGTCCACTGACTTTTTGCAGACAAAAAAAAAAAAAACTCAGCATTGCCATCTTTAGATTGTGAACTCTTTGTGGACAAAAAGATTTGCTCGCCATCAAAGTCATTTTGTTTACCCCATGACTTTTGCTGGCCAAAGTACTTAGACAACATCGACACATTTTATTTACAAATGTGGCGTCCAAGTACTCGAGTTCACCAAAAATATTGTCCCATCACTTTTGGCGGACACGGACACTCGCGAGCCGCCGCCGTTTTTTTGTTTACAAAGCGTTTGATGACTTTGTGGGACCAAAGTGCTCGCACACCGCCACTCTCTTATCGGCTTGGACAGCGTCCACGTACTTCACGCTAACTTGCTAATCTGGAGCCCGAGGGCCGGTGCGTTGGGCAGGGCGCGGTCCCGGCGGGTGGGCTGTTGTGGGCCAGGTGACCTTTGTGTGTCATTGTGCCGCCTCGCACCTCGCCCGGGGCGAACGGGAAGGAGCTTAGTGCCTTACACCTGCCGCCAAGCGGGGAACTTGGCTTGAGGGGCGCTCGATTCGACTTGAGGCGGATGCAAAGGCGGAAGTCAGACTTTTGGATGTCGGCAACACGAGATGATGTGAGGTAAATCAAGCGCACCCGGCGCCTGGCATGCCGAACAGGCCGTCACTTGGACAGTGGCAGGAGCCGCGGGGTAAACGCGTATCACCATATCCAAGTTTGTCTTAACCCGAGTTGACACCAGACAGTTTGTCAACAATTTTACGGGATAGCGTCTTTGCGAAGGCTGCCAAGACCACTCAGTGGCGCCTTCCGTTTTTGTTGTTGAAAGCAGTCCGGGCAACTTTGCATTTTTACTTGGGTGTGTATAATGCAGTGCTCACTTTTTTTGTACTTGGCATTAGTTGATATTTACTGATATCTTCTGAATGTGAACATTATTTATCAATATTTTCAGAGATGAAATCGTCACATTGTGGACGTCATTTTTCGGCTGTATCACTCAGCCCCATTTTCCAACATCAAGTCAAGTCCAGTCCAGTCCAGTCCAGGCAGCTTTTTTGGTCAGATATGCTGTATGTACAACATACAGCACAGATGAAATTTCTTTCCTCTCAACCACAGCGCCAACATGCTGTGCATTGAAAACACACACGGCTAAAAATAAGGCCAGCGAAAATGAACTGCATCAAAAAGACAAAGACATAAAGATAGAGATATAAACAAATCAAACAATAAATAGCAATCAGCAGACAACCAAGGGCACTTGCGATGATTGCGGCTTGACATGCTGAACAGTTCAAGCTGTATTATTTTGTACTTTTCTTTTGAACAAAGACTAAAACTCAGGGAGTTGTCATTTTATTTTGCACTTCTGTCAATGTGTTGCACTTGAATCCGAGTTGTTTTTTTTTTTCCCCCCAACTTATCTTCTGTGTTGCAGAATGACTGTTCTGCCATTTGTCAGGAATAAACAAACCAGCTTTCTTTGAAATCATCTGTCAGTCATTCCGTCGAAATGGTTTGTTTCAAAAGTCGTCGTGGTATCAGTAACCTGGTGTTGGTATCGGGGAGTCGTCATAGTTCAGCAGTGAAAAAAAGGTCAGGGAACATCCCTATGAAGAGGGCAACATCAATTCCCTTTCAAATATGAATCCGTAGTTCCACGAATACCTAACAGTGAGAGTATCGGCACCTGGTACCGTGCATTGGGACAATATCACAAGAAGGTAACGCGAATGGCGATATCCGCCTCATTGAGGTCAGTTCGATCAAGTGCAACTCATTAATATCGACACCGTCACGACGAGATCGGGAGATGCTCTCGATTCAACTTGAAGGGGATTCAAAAGACGAGAGGTTTTGCCGTTGCAGCCCCGCTAAACGAGCTCGGATCAATCAAGCGCACCTGGCTGGCTGAGAAGGGGGTGCGCCTGATTGAGTCGAGGTGGCGGCAAGCGTCTCACCCAGGGCTAGTTGTCAGCGAAGGATCTTTTGTCTTGTCTCGTCGCCGCTGCGCTGCGGGCCAACACGTCGGCGCCATTGTGACGGATGTTTGAGTGTCTCCCGTGCGGCGGGGCGGCGGGGCGGCCGGCGCACCGGTGACACTCGTCATATTTCAAACAGGAGGTCTGAGCAAGAAATGAAGATTGATGCGCAAAAGCCGACGCCCGTCCGATACATATATTATCATTTGGGCATCCATATGCATGCGCGGCACGTGCACGTGCGGCGGCTGACGTGGGCGCCGCGCGCGTTATTAGAGCCATGTGATCTAATTGCATTTGATGTGCAAATAAACAGGGAACGAGTCCATCTCCTGGCGCGGCCGACAGACGTGATGGACGAGCGCATTAGCGACGGGGACAACATTAGATTTGCTCAAAATTATTGATCTTTTGTTTGCCAGCCAAGTCGGCCATAAATAACGGGCGCGCGGGAGATGTGACTCATTATCGCCGTGCCAAAAGCTCGACAGACCTCCGTCAAAACACCCCCCCCCGTACCTCCGCACGCCTCCCCTCGCCCTCTGCTCAGCCTTCTCTCATTGCCGTCCCTACGCCGGTTTTTACAAGAATGCAACGTTGACGCTCATGTCCAAATCGCGATCATGTCACGATCGTGATCGATATAATAGCAATGCGATCTTCAGACTAAAAAAATCTGAAGGTGCGCCCGAGCGCACTTGAGACGGACGGACGCAGCGGTGGAAACGTGCGTGGTGACATCGGGCCAACTCAACAAGGGGATAAAAATGTGGCGCGCCGGGGACACGGTGGGCTGAGTAGGGGTCGCGTGGCGGGTTCGGTCTGGGTGGCAGCAAGCGTCTCGACGTCGTCAATGGAAGGGATGTTCAATCACACCTCTTCCAAGCCGACACCAGTCGCAGTATTCACTCTTGGGCAGCAGTACCGAGTACTGATACCACTCGTACTTTGGAGAGATCAAATTGCAAGAAACATATATTTTATACATGTCCACACGCACATACAAACACACACACTCATTTTTGGGAGGCGGGCGTCAATACTGACAGCAGATCCCTGTATGTCTATAATGCACTGTATTATTGTTGTAATTGATTTGAATATACACAAATGATCATGAC